ACGGACATGGCACGACTTGTACTAACGAGAAGCTGATCCCTCAACACTTCAACAAGTTTTAATTTTAATTACTCTTCAAACCAAGCTGAAACTGGTGGCAGATGGGCCCAGGTCAGTCTGACATTTCATCCAGGGGTGAATTCCTGAAAGCAAGCAGGGTTCCTGACCTTCCAGCAGGGCTCACAGAGCTCCTTCACGTTGATGGTGCGGCACAGGGTGATGATGAACACGGGCAGGTTCTCCGAGGGCAGGCAGTTGTAGCAGACAACTGCATCCAGGACTTGCAAGGAAATCTTTGGGAAAGACAAAAGTCAATCAGCCAGGTCAAATCCACACCTGGCACACCCAGGAAATCTCCTGGAAGTCAAAAGGGATGAAGATTTTTTTTTTTTTTAAAGCATTGTCAATTCGTTTATCAAATTGATTAATGCTCTGTTTGCATTGGAATAAATTATCGGTGTACGAGATTTACTGGCTTACAAATAACATAATATTGCATCAGCTCTCTTGAAAGATGAGAATAAACCCAGAGTCTGATGATCTGATTTTGTTTGTAGAAGTTACAAAGAACTTCAAAGAGTTCTGCAGTACTAAAAGAAGCTCAGATCACTGACCTCTATGTCCATAGATGATGAAGTCTGAATGCACAAAAGGCAGATCTTGCTGTTAAGAAAGAACATTTAATTAGAATTGTTTGCTCCACATGATTTTAGGCAAATTACAAAGAGCCAGAGCAGTCAGGTTAATTGCCATGCTATTTAACTCCTCACTGCCCTTCCGGGGGCAATGGAGGTGACAGCCCAAGGGACACTGAGCTCTGCAATCTCTTTTACAAAGGGAGACTTAAATGCAGCTCAGGTAATGCAACAGCACAGACCCTTGTGAGACTAAGCAATGCAAACAGGCCCACCCCATGGAACTGGAATGGGAGAAGCACATTTAGTTAAACTAAAACAAACCTAAACACCACAAGAACTGAAAATCAAATATTTGTCAGAAATCACCTAGGACGAAACAGATCCAGATGGGGACAAAAATATCCCAGTTGTCTGTGTATTGATCTGTAACTTTCTCTCTAATTTGCCAGGAATAAGCAGGTAGGAGTTAAAAAACCCAACTTACTGGACCATGTCAGCTACGTAGTCTTCCAGGTAGCAGCTGTTGAATTTCACCAGGTTCACCAGAACCAAGAGGAACTCAGATGTCAGCCCAACATCCATCCACTGTAGCACAAAATCAGCTAAAAAACGGAAAAAACCCTGTTACCTTCTCCCCAGGAATGACACCATGCCTTTTTCTGTTATCACTGGGTGTCTCTGCCTGGAATTCTCCCCCCCAGACTGAAGAGGAGTTGGGACAATGCTCACCCAGCTCCTCCTCCAAGTAGGTGATGTAGCGCCCGTTCTCCGTCAGAGCCTTGAACACTTCCAGCCGCTCGTGCACATCTTCATTGGAGGGATAATCCTTAATAACCTTAAAAAAGTGGGCTCTGAGGATCCCCAGCCTCTCACCCTGGAAATGAAAAAAGGGAAGGGGTTAAGGCCTGGTCATTAGCAAGGTATACCTCAGTAATCTTCATGCTTTAAATCAGCTTTCTGTTGAATCGATGCCTACTCCCTTCATAAGCACCCCCCCCTTGCTTTCTCACAACACTGACAATGACAACTTTGGGCTGATTCAGCCCCATGTTTGTGCAACACGTTGGGAAATCCGAAGAATTCCTTGTGTGCTGAACTTGGCCAGGCTAGAAGTGTCTCACACAGAACCCCTTGCATACCTGAAACATCAAAACCAGCTGCAAACTGGGACTAGAAGGTCTGGGCAAAGACCACATAAAATCTGCTGAATTATGCTGAACTTAACCCAAAGTATTTCCTCTTTCTCAAGAGCGTTACCCCAAACCAGAACAGCTTTCTATGAGTTGTATAAAAAGTTTTGCTGTGAGGTCAAACCGAGACTTAAAACTAAAGTGCTTCCTCTTCTCATTTTATGCGACACAACCAAAATGACAAATATGAACCTTTGCAGAGAAGAGCTCCCTGGTGCTTTTCCCATTTTCCCCCCTGCACAAAGCCCAGTTCAGGTCAGTGTCCCCCGCCCCGTGGGGTTGCTGTCACCTGTCCCTGGACGATGGACTTGAGCAGGTGGAGCACGGCGTGCCTGGCCTCGGCGGGACGCTCCGGCTGCAGCATGTCAGCCACCACCTTCCACACGGCCTCCACGGCGTGCTGGGGGCACAGCAAACACCAAGAGCACGGCAAAAGCGTGAGGCAGGAGAGCTCAGCTCTGCCAGCAGGGCACAATGAGCGATGGCAATCCATGACCAAGACCCAGGGGTTCCACATGCGGGGTTCTCTGCTCTGAGGGACACTCACCCACCTGGTCACACACTCAGACCAGCCCCAGGAGACCCCAAATCCAGCCCTACACCCCAGGAACTGCAATTTCTCATTGCACACTCACTGCAAGTTGGAATATTTGTGCAGAAGCCTTCCACCCAGCTACAAGATGAGTTCAAACCAATTGGGGGATGCTTATTAACAAGTCAGGAGATAAGGAAACCTCTCTAAACATCATCTCCCATGAGCTGTCCTCAATATCCCCAGCATTCTCCTTCCAGGATGGTGCAGGAAGCCCAACAGCTCCATCCCCTCTGCTGCACAGGAAGGTTGGGCAGACAAATTCCCTTTTACAGCACAAAGTGGCCAGGGATCACCCATTCTAAAATGCTTTCTAAGCAACAGGAGTCCCTTACGATAGTCTGAGAGCTGCTGCTTACATTTCCATCCTTCCAATACTCACTGAACACTTTGGAACTCACCTCTTCAATTTTTTTGGTTTTTGCCACTTCACAGATTTGACTGATTGCTCGTATCCTGTTACTCAATCCACACTCTATGCTCAGTTCCTGGAAAGAAATGGAGAAATAAGCTAACAGTTTATCTTACCAGAAACACATATCCATTTCTCCAAGGGGAGAAGGAATTCTGGTCTCCTTCTCCCTTTTTTTCTTTTGCATTTTCCTCCTCGTGTGCCAACTATTCTGCTTAAAGACTTGTGGTACCAATTACTGGAATCAATTATTTTATTTTTCATTTCCACAGCACTGTAAGGTTTCCATAAAACAGAAACAGTTCCCAGCTTGTGGAAACTGCCACCACAGAAACTTCATCAAGCTCAGACCATAAAAAATCAAAAGGACAGGGAAATAGCCTGTAACCCAACACAACAAATATTTCTAAAGCTTTCAAAGAGTGAATAACTCAAATGCTGGAGCTGCAAAGTAGGTGAGCTCTACATCCAGCTCACTAGAGAATCAGGAGAGGGAATGATAGAGAGGAACTGAGTGCCAAAAAAACAGGAAAGGAGCAGGATCCCCTCAGCTGAGGTACCCCAGGCACCACTCCCACCTTCACTCCACTCAGTTCTCACACCTTGAGTATTTCTGCAGTGATGATGAACTCTGTCTGCTTGCCCTCCGAAGACTTGGAGCTTCCCCGGGATGTTCCCAGCCCCAGGAGGTTCCTGAACTTCTCCTTCAGCCCAGAGTCCTTGCTCTGAGGCTTTGCCATGGCTGCCCAGCGCTGAGGCCCTGCAAACACAGAACAGGGCACTGGTAAGGGAACTACAAGGGGGATATTTCAGCAGGGAAACCCCAATAACAGCATCACACCAGGCTTTTCCAAAGAGCTTGGGTGCTTGAGCCTTTTCAAACATGGGAGAAGCCCAACACTGAGAAACACAAGGAGCTTGTGCTGCTCCTGCCTTCAGCACCTGCATCCCCCATGGAACAGGGGCCTTTGGGACACCCTTTCCTGGGAGCCCTGAATGCCCAGCCCAGCACACAGGATGATTTCTGCAGCATGTCCATGTGCACACAGTTTTTGGAGGGTGTGAGCTGGCCACTTGTTCCCCAAGCAAAGGCCAAGCACACTGTGCTGTGCTGTCGATGTGGAAGTGAGGAAGGACTCACAAATCTGAGTGCTGGAACATCCAAGTGCTGCCATGGCAAGGGAAACATGGGCAAAAACAGGGATGACATTACAACGACAACTGCAGAAACTGCCTCCCCCTGCCCGACCCACTGTCCCTTGGGGACCCTGGCCCTGGGCACAGCACCCTGCACAACCCCAGAGCCCCATGGACGTCCCATGGCCTTCCCACAGCCTGGCACAGCAATTCCCGCTGCTCCTGGGGATGCACCACACAGCCTGTCCCTGCATCCTGGGGCACATGGCATGGACACAGCCCACCATCCCCAGGGATACACCATGGACCCCTGCCCACCATCCCCGGGGACACACCCAGCCCTCTGACCACAGGGACATTTAGAGTGCACCGCCCTGGGGACCCCCACAACCCTGACCCACCCCGGGCGATGGCACATTGTCCCCCAAGACCCCTGAACAAGCCCGAACATGCCACATCCCACCCGAAGCCGGGATATGCCACATCCCACCCCAAATCCAAACATGCCACAACCCACCCCAAGCCAGGATATACCATAAGCGCTTAGGGACACACAACGGGGGACATCCCAGACCCCGAACACAATGGGAGTCACACCCCAGACCCCAACAAACACAACGGGGCACACTCCACACCCCAAATACAACGGGGATCGCATGCCAGACCCCAAACACAACGGGGGTCACACCCCAGTCCCCAACAAACACAACGAGGGTCACACTCCACACCCCAAACATACCGGGGATCACACTACAGATCCCAAACACAACGGGGGTCACACTCAGACCCCAATAAACACACCGGCGGGTCACAGCCCGGCCCCCCGGACACACGGTGGGGACACAGCGCGCCCCCAAAGCGCGGTCCCCTCCCGGTGCCGGCTCCCCCGTCACTCACCCCGAGCCCGGCCCGGCCCGGTCCCGCCGCCCCCGGCCCGCTCCGCTCGGGGCCCGGTGCCCGGTGCCCGGTGCCGGCCCCGCCCCGCGCTCGCCCCGCCCGTTCCGGCAGCCCCGGTGCGCCCCGGGCCCGGTAGTTCGCGGGGCCGCCATGAGCGCGGCCCGGCCCGGCCTGCGGCGGCTGCGCTCGGCCGGGGGCACCGGGGGTACGGGCAGGGGACGGGGTACGGGGCACGGTACGGGCAGAGGATGGCGTAGGGGCCTGGGGATGGGGTACGGGCAGAGAATGGGGTACTGGGGATGGGGTACGGGACTGGGGATGGGGTACGAGACTGGGAATGGGGGTACGGGACTGGGAATGGGGTACTGGGATGGGGTACAGGCAAGGGATGTGGTGCGGGACAGGATACGGGCAGGGGATGGCGTAGGGGCCTGGGAATGGGGTACGGGCAGGGGATGGGGTACTGGGGATGGGGTACGGGCAGGGAATGGGACTGGGGATGGGGTACGGGACTGGGGATGGGGTACGAGACTGGGAATGGGGGTACGGGACTGGGGATGGGGTACGGATAGGGGAATTGGGTACAGGCAGGGGATGGGGTGCAGAACAGGGTATGGGGTGTACGGACAGAGGATCAGAGTATGGGCAGGGAATGGGGTACTGATAGGGGATGGGGGTCTGGGTCAGAGGATGAGGATACAGGATGAGATGGAGAGTATGAAGGAGGGATCACGGCTTCCTGGGGTACGGGAAGAGGGGATCGGGGACATGGGGTGTGTGGGAGAGGGGGAATCGCTGGTACGGGAAGGGGGGATCGGGGTGTGCTGGGGCTGCACCAGGCCCCGGCATGGCTGGGACAGCGGCTGGGTGTCCTTGTCACGTCCCACTCGGAGCGAGGGATGTGGCTGTCCCGGGCTGGGGATGCACCTCCAGCAGCCTCGCCTGTGTTTGGGACACTGTCCCCATGGTGTGACATGTGACCCCACTGCTGTCACCTGTTGCCACTTGTCTCACAGGTCCTTCCACCCTCCCTTGCCCCTGCTGGCTCTGCTCGGGGCAGGGGGATGCTCAGTGTTTGAGTTGGGACTCAGGGCAGGGAACTCGCCCTGCTCAGGGTCCCCTGGGCGGCTGGTGGCACATGGGGCTGTCACCGAGCTCTGTGCAGGCCGCTCTCCTGAACCTGGAATCTCTGCCATCCATGCAGGGAGCCAGCTCCAGCGCACGCCCGCGGTGCCGAGGCAGAGCAGGAGGAGGAAGAGCGTGGCCATTGCCTATGAAGCAGGGCAGGGCGAGGGGGCCGAGGCGCGCTGGGAGCCGCCGCGCTGGCGGGAGCAGCTGCAGCGCATCCGCCAGATGAGGAGCAGCAGGGATGCTCCCGTGGATGAGATGGGAGTGCACAGGTGCTACGACACCAGCGCGCCTCCAGAGGTAACCCCGGCATTCCCACGGGGGCAGCATTCCCACAGGGAACAGCATCCACAGGGAGCA